TTAAATACCCTGAATTTAGAAAATTCATAACTAATTGTAGAAAATTCCAAATTAGGCAAACTCACTTGCATTGGACTCCGATTAGGGTCTAGTATTTATTAATGATCTTAGGTTTCCAGAAATTGGCCCAGATTGGAAAGTCAACTTTTTGGTCAACCCCAGCCTATAGTCTAGTGCCCAAAACTTAGAAAATTCATAACTTTGCCTAGAAAACTCCGATTTCAGTGTACTACCTGTCTAACTACTCGTATTAAGGTCTAGTATTTTTCTAAGGTGTTAGAAGACTTAAACTTAGCCCATTTCCCATAGTGACTTTTTGGACCCTTAGTCTAGTTCCTAGGACCCGGGACTTTCTAAAATTGGCTAATATCACTTGAACTTTAAATATCAGTATCTTAAGCTCTTAAAACTGATCAACAAACTGAAATAATTAAAATGAACCCTAAGTCACTAATATTTGAATTTCAACTAAAATATCCTTTTCAGACCCCCAACAAACCTGAACTCTAGATAACTTTAACTAACTACCCTGCTTAGGACTTATCCAAACCACACCAGCCTTACACACACATAGAATTGTTTGTTAGGGCACCACTTCTAGATCTAGGTTAGGCCGCTGGGTTTATTTTTTTGCTGTCTGCCGGAGCTTTCCGTGATTTTCATTGCATGCTGTTTGAAAATGATTTGTGTGTTTGCTTACCTTTTCTGCACTCTGTGGATGATGTGATGAGCGCTAGATTTACCCCTAGGTTAAGAGCGTAATATATATATACACTGTTCTTCCGTGCAGGTGGCCATGCTCAAGCTAATAAAAGGGGGAAGCATTATCATGATTTTTAATAATGTTTTATGCAGGTACTTGCTCAGCTCCCCCTAAATAAAATGAGGGCTAAATTAATAATTATAACTACACATGTGGAGCTGCTTAGCCCTCATAATTAAGAGCATGGCTTAGCACAGGGTCAATGGTTTGAGTTATTTTCATTTCCATATATAACTGCTTGAAATTTTTATTATGATAACCATGCAGGGAGTCTAGAATTTTCTTTTTTAAATGGATGTAATATTTGTAACATTTGTTAAGAGTTGTGAAAATGATCTTTGAGTGTAGAAATTCTTATCCCACTTGAATCCCAAAAGAAGAAGGCATCCTCATAGGGGTGAGTCTTATTCTATTTAGGAGATCGAGTGGGATGACTTTAGATATCCAAAAAGAAAAGGCAATACCCCCTACGAAGGGGAAATTGTCTCTTCGTTAGATATTCAAGCCACGATGGATCCAATGAGTCCAAGGAGGAGAAATCCAAGGAGTCCAAGGAGGAGAGATTCAAGGAGTCCAAGGAGAAGAGTTCCAAGGAGTCCAAGGAGAAGAAGACATCCAGAAGACTGAAGACCAATATCCCACTCAAAGTCATTTGCGTCTGTCATAGGCTTAGAAATCCGGGTTGTTGGCAGTGGTGCCCGGCCACTTTATTTTCTGCATATCTGGGTTGTAATAAGGGCAATTTGCCTATGGCCATTTAGTTGATTATTTTTGGATTTATATTGATGTGTTTACCTGATTGCGCAGTAGAAATTGCCTATTTTTCTTAGGTTTCTTTCTTGTATGTTGCTTTTGTTTTCGCCTGGATTCCGTTAGGCTCTCTAACGACTATAAAATTTTTCTACTCATAACTAACTCCTAAAATTTTAAGTCCTAAATAACATAGAAACTTAACGAACCTAGGGAACTACCGGAATCGTCCGGGGTCGCATGCATATTACTGCATTCTTCTTTCCTTGCTATAAGACATCTCCCTGCCTGCGGGTAGAGTCTGGATAATCTGGCCTATGAGAATGAAGTGTCGGACCTAGGGAGACTCAGTTTTTTCTAAAAATTTATTTTCTATAAGCCTGTTTTTAAAATTCTATAGCATTCATGAGCTGAAATTTCAACTAGCATGCATTGCATTAGAAACCAATTTAATTAAAATTTAATTTCATTAGTTAGGAGCATTTACCCAACATAAGTCTAGGACCACTTAGAAAATTCTCTAGATGTCAGTCCTATTTCCAAATAACAGTACCACCCACTCATCTTTCATAACTGACTTGATAGCATGGTTTTGAAGCGATTAGGTGGTTAGCTGACTCCCCAATCCAGGCCGGGATAAGTTCAGGTTTTGCATTGTAGGACACGGGCCTTAGTGTTGTGTAGAACACTAAACCCAACCTAGATTTAGGATTCGAGGCTACTACATTCGGTCTCGTAGTATGCCTTAAATAGTATGTAGGTCCCTTCCTTTCAGGGACTATAAATCCTACTTATCCGCGTCACAGGATGACGCCACCTCCATCTCTTCTCTCACGCATGTGGTTGAGTGCTTGATTTTCTTTTCCCAGTTTCTCTCTAGTGCCCTAGAGCCTCCGAATGCTGGTATGAGCCACACATGTTGATTCAACCCTTCGGACCTTTCTTCCCTTTGAGTAGGACTTCCTAGTCTATACCCTCGTGCCGATCTCACTTTAGGAGGGGATAATGTATGATCCTTAATCGAGAGTTTTCTCAGGCTCCGGCATTGGATGTAATTAACCACGGGGGCTTGCGCCCGTGGGAAACTCGGTCCCACATCTACTAAACCACATTCGAGCTCTTGCATCGGGTGGGGGAAACCCGTGACTAGGTCGTGTATATTGCTACCCATCAAGGTGTGTTGGTGAAAGCTTCTATCCTCAATGGTTAGTCGTATGCACGATCCAAATCTGTCCCTTCCAATTGACCCATTTGCGCGGTGCTCTTTCGGATGTCCACGCCCACATCTATGCTTAAAAACATTTTGATTGCTAAAGAAAGCTAACTTCACATACTACCCTAAATAAGGTAACTTAGTTTACAGCCAGAAAATATAAAGGACAATACTACTACATTTGTGACCTCAAACGCAATAGAGCTAATAAAATCACTCAACGGGAGCTTTGGCAGGCAAACATAAAAGATAATATCACGTAATTTGCAACTTCAATAATGATAGACTGATCACAATCACTAGAAGGGAGATGTGCAAATATAAATGTTTCGAATATGTGATCTGTAAATTGCAGATAAAGCGTCTAATCTTCTCTGCTTGTTTAATTGACATAGGGCCAAATAAAAACCTCAAAAGCATGCAGAGAAAGAAATTATGTAGGCATCATATTGGCTGATGTTAGCACATGAGTTTACCTTAAGGAATTCTGCAATTTTGGTGGCCCACTGATGTTGCTCGAAGGTGCTTGAATTCCCTTGCCAAATGAAAAGTGAATTTCCAGATTGCAAAAGAAAACAATCTTGGGAATTCAGAGATGCAGCAACCTGAACAATCAACAACAAAAGAGAACTGCCTTCAATAAAATCAGGCCATAAGCCTCAATGTGGAATTTATGATACTTCTTAACCCGAAGTTGCACATCTAGTCTAACTATTAAGATAACGACTGAAATAGCTATTAAAAATTACCAGATAGCAATTTAGTTAAATTTCATAAACTGGGTTTTCACGTATAGGTATAGGTAAACCAAAATAATAATACAAGATGAAACCTATATATGATCGTGGCAACTTCAAAGTAATATCTGCGTCACATAGCAAGATGGGAGGTTATCATGGTGCAACTCAAAGAGGAGAGGAGAGTAAACAAAAATAGAATAAATTTGGCACTCACCTAACAACTTCCACCGCACATGCTCTCTCTGTTTTCATGTTTAAATTATCAATGGAAAAGAAACAAACCAGCATCTACAATAGTTGTGAAGTGAAGTAGGCAGAAAGCATAAGCATGCCTAACGAAAGAAACATCAGAGGAAAATAAAAACGAAAAAGACAGCAGATTGCACTTGATGAGTTCTTCCAAAAAAAACAAGGTAATTACTCGTAAATATCAAAGTTCGATAGGAAAAAAACTAACAATCCAACTGATCACTACACAGGTATTATCTTATCCTGAAAGAATTAAAGTGTAATAAGTTCTTCAACCAACCAAGAAGTCATTATAAATAAATTTTGCCAAAAAAAAAAGTCATGGATGAGTACTTTTATTTGAACTGCTCGAGGTTTCAATGCATGTTAAACTAACCTATTCAACCAAGCATTTCAATGGAGAGCTTCATCCTCCTAAACTTACACTGAACCGCTAAAAACACTAGTTGTAATCCTTCAGATGCTCAAACAAGTAGTTGACATCTTAAGGGACCATTGATTAAAAATTAATACCTTATACATGTGTGGCTGGGTTGAGGGCAGTCGAGTGGAGATTGGGTGGCGTGTTGATTTGCTCCTATATGTGACACAAAGCGGGAAAAAGAAATACCAGCAATGAAACATTTTTTAATTGCCCGTGCTTTTTATCCTGAAAGGATAAATAGTTTTTTTTTTTTTTTAAAGGATAAATAGTTCAAACAAGTGTACCCACTAAAAGGTACATGATAAGAAAATATATTCTGAACCACAAGTTGCCAATATTCTCACTCATGACTTTTTTATTTTAACCTTGTTCAACCTTTCAATGAGACACAACCTAGGCAATTCTTTACAGCAAGAACAACAATAACATCAAACTTTTATCCCATTACATGGGGTCATCTACATGAGTCAATTTTTCTCCATTATGTCCTATTAAGAGTCAAATTCTAACTTAAAACTAATAACAAAATGTTATTTCTAATACTTCTAACCAAATCTTTTTAGGTCTAACTCATCTTTTCTTAACATAGGCCTGATCTAATACATCTGCTTTCCTAACCAGGTCATAAGAAGGCCAACATTTTATGTGACCAAACCATATAAGGTAACTCTCTCTAATCTTATCTGCCACTGAAGCTACTCCAACCTTTTCACGTAAATACTAGTTTCACATATTGTCTCTAAGTGTAAAGCCACTCATCAACCTGAGCATCGTCATCTCTGCAACACTCAACTTGATTTTATGCTTCTCTTTTAATGGTCAATATTATTCGTCATAAACCATTGTAAGTCTCACCAGTCACCACCATCTTATAAAATTTTCCATTAAGTTTGAGGGGTATGTTTCTATCACACAAAACACCTTATACATTCATCCACTTCAATCATTCAACTTGAATTCTATTAATAATATTTCCATCTATTTCACCATCGCTTTGAACGACCCAAGATATCTAAACTAAGCAATCTTTTGTAGTATTTAAATAGAGTTTATCTCTTCAAAAGCTTATATTTCAATCATTTAAATCATGCAGATGGGCAAGAGGGTGCTGAATTTCTTATTCAATGTCACAACAAGGTAAAAATACAATCTTTCAATGTCTAAAACATACAACAAGCTAATGGCCATGTAAATTTAAATTTAAAAAAAAAAAAGAACATAAGGCATACCGCTTCAACTTGAACTGCTTTATTGTTATGTACTGAAGTACCAGACACGCAAATTAGTGCAATGTTATCAGAGGCATAGGTTTCATCATTCAGCTTTTTCTCAGCAATAAACTTCTTGTAGCCTGTGCTTAGACCGCCCTAGCCAATTTGAGAAATAGTAATGACTCAAAACCGTGCCTCAACTTCTCAAGAAGGCAATCTGAACAAAAGAAGGTAAATTGTACCTTCAAAACAACCATTGGCTGAAAGAGAGCAATGAACTGCGGTGGCTCCTTTCCTTGGAAAATGCGACCCTGCAGTGGAGCAGGCCAGTAAGCCGAATATAAGTCTCAAGGGAAAAAAAAATTCCGGTAATTCCTACAGCATAACTTAAAAAAAAGAAAGAAAATGAACCCATATTCATGAAACAGATAAAGAAATACCTGAACAGGTCTCCCCTTCATGGAAGTCCACATAGTATTAGCCAATCGAGCAGCCATCATTTGATCATCCTAGTAGGAAGAAAAAAACTTGATATAATCAAAGGGATGTTAACCTCATAGGAAGAATATCTTTTGGAACAAAAACTAAGACATTTTAGAAGACTAGAACAATTTTAAATATTATGAAACAGCATGTTAGATAAGATTGTAAAAAACATAAAGATAATGTTTTAAATAGCATACCAAAAAAAATTGAAATGTGTGGAAGCCAATTATTTTTGGGAACAACAATCCCAAGAGATGAAGAAGCCCCCTTAAATTTTCAGAAGGAAAACTCAATAGAGGGTAAATTGGAAAGTCCAGAATTATTTTAAGGAGTTCAGGAGGGTCCCGCTGTTCAGTTTGTTTAAATGGGTGCACATAAGTTAGGAAGAACTCAAAGTTACAAAGTTAAAACATATCATATCTGGGAGTAAAATGTAGCGGATAAACAAGTAAGACGGCTTAAATAAGGAGCTACAGTTTTGGGATTAAAATAGATGAATCTATGCATCCACAATTTACATAAAATCACTTAAAAGAAATTAGTAAGTGGACCTTTACAGCATGGTTAAACTATATATATATATATATTAGAGAGAGAGAGAGAGAGAGAGAGAGAGAGAGGCATTTTCCCTCGAATCAAGCCAGGTTACCAAATAAAGATGACCATAATGTCAGTCAACTTATCTAAAACCTTCAAAATAGAGAGAAAATTCAATGCTAATCAGTCCTATCAACCAGCCAGATGGAAAGAGAGATGCATTAAGTATCCCTTGAGAAGGGTTGTCACTAGAATTCAATTTTTCCTACACAGCTTTCAAATATGATACAATTAGCTGGTTGAAGAGACAATGCTAACTGAATAGTAGTATTAAAGTTTGAATAGAAAGTTAAAATAAATAAGATAAATTAGAGAATCTGCCTCGACAGAAAAAATAACTCAAAACTTGAAGTGATAAGCTTGCTGCCAATAGAACAACCGAACAGAAAATAGACATATTGAGATTTGAGATTATTTGTGCACGATATTCATACAGCTCTCTTTTAAAAGTTTTAAAAAAAATCAATGAATTTCAGATATATCTACTAAGAGTTGAATTATCATTGTAATATGCATTTTAAAATCTCGTGATACATTTAAAATTTTATTGGTTATATTTCTGAATTCCAATAATTAGTAACATATTTTCATGGGAAAAAAAGGGGTAGCTAGCTGTTATGTAAACAATTGTCCAGTGGAAAAAACAACATAGAGTACCCCGTTCAGATATATTTGTTTTGTAAAACATTTTTATTTGATTCACAAAATTTGCAAATCATATTAGTTACCTGAATGCTTTCCTTTCCAATCCAACAGGACAGGAAATATTCTTCTTTCTTGTCACCAGAATTATATGTGTATAACACAATAAAACAATCTCCACCATAGAATTTACCAATCTCTTCTTTTGGAATTCGTGTCTTGGCACTGCCATTGATTCGCCAAACCTAAAACACAAGCATTAATGAAACTTCTCAACAAGAACCCCTCCTACTTCAACTAACTTGCAGGGGAGCTTTACCTCAACTTTCCCACCGCTTTCAAGCAAAGGCGGAATCTCCTCATTTATAGGAGCATTTTTTGTGCTTCCCTTAACATCAACACCCTGTTGTTTTAACAGAGCTACAAAAAAATAAAAAAAATAAAAAAAAAAATAAAACAAGAGCCAACAACAAGATAGTTCAATCAAGCATGTGCATAAAATAAATCAAGTACCTGCAACTTTTCCTCTTCCATCCTCACCACCAGTACTTCCTGTACCATTACTCAGAGGCCAAGATTCAAAGTTGGACTTGAATGAATGTGTCTCGTGACCCTGAATAATTTGGATTATTCGGGTTGCCTTAGGTCGGTTCTCACCATTAACAAGTTCCTACAAAAAAATAATAGAAAAAGTTTCATATGGAGTAGAATCTCTTGGAAAGCCATTAACATATCAAAGAACATATCTAATGCACTACCTCAGCAGCTTTGCAAGCAGCCTTTCTCTCCTCCAGTTGTGTTACCCGGCCAACCCAAACATGAATCTCAGCTCCAGAATCCAGTAAATAGCATTTATTGTTTTCAAGCATGGCTTTGGAAAGAGTGCCTTCTTCCAACTTTAATTGACCATCATTGATACTATAGCAAGTTTTCAACATTTTAAATGCTAACCCAAGTTCTTGTGCATATTATGCAAAAGATGACCTAACACAGCAATAAGAACTTATAAAAGACACTAACCTGTTTTCCTACTACTAGTATTTGTCATGGCAGTTAGAAGCTAGTTTCAATCAATAATTGATTCTCAATTTTTTCAACAGAACTAAGACGTCCATGCAAGCTTGGCATACTTAAAAGAAAATGTGATTATTATAATATCTACATTCGAACAAATAAAATTCGATATAACGATGCACTCAGGAAGCAAATGTTAGAAACCATAAGCCAGTGAGATATGGGTAGTACACATTAAAAATCAATACAATATTCTATTTCTGTAGATACCAGCATTTCATACATGGAGTTGGATAGTCTCATATAAGCACACAGCATACTGAGAGATAGGTCAGATTCAAACTGCTGGAGTAAAAGAGTACCAAGCAAAGAAACGCTGATCCAGATTTTACAACATTGACAGCAAAAAAAATAAGGACTGAAATAGGAGTGCATCAAATTGACATGCAATTTCATGCATAATAGAACTACTTAAATATTTAGAATGAAAAAATAATAATAATAATAATAAAATTAACATACCTAGTTTACATGAAAAAGCTTAAATGATTAATTCTTATATATGCGAGACTTTATTTATTACTAATGGCGACTTAGAAACACATGTTCCAACTTTACATGTGACATATTACCTGTGTGATAGGTATAAGAAAACTCCTGGGGAACCTTATTACAATACATCGGGAACCAAAGGAAATTATTAAAATTAGTGAAAAAGAGGAAAGGGAAATTTTGGACTTCAGAATTCAGCACTCTACAGCAGTGTCAACTTTTTTACTTGATGCTCAAGAATTGAAGAACTTGATGCCTAGTTAAACAGGAAATCCAATCAAATCCTTTCCTCCAATTTCAGTTTTCATGTCATAATCGTGAGAATGAGTGGGCTGGGGCAAAGCGAAACATGACGAGTGCAAAGTAATCGGCACGACTCCTTGCATGGGTAAATGACCGATTTCATTCGGTTTTAGAAGAATCGAAGTTAGAAGGAGAGAAAGAGAGAGATATTGTAAAAGAGAAGGTTGAAGGAGAGGTTACTTACCTTTGATGTTCATCGAAGAATCTGTGCTCGATGAGAGGAAGAAGAAGAAGAAAGAGGAGTTTGTGAGTTTCCATTTTGATGACAGAGAACTAGGAAGTGATTTCTATTCCAATTGGAAGGAAGAAGTTTATGCTTTGTATTTTTTCTTAATCTACTATTGTAAAATTTCTTTACATCAATAGGTGAAGTTGGAGAAAGCCTTATTTTGATAAAAAAGAGAATTTATTTGAGGAATGTAATGCAATTTAAAAATATTTAATTTTGACTGTTAGGGAATCGAATAGATAATGTAATTGCAATTATGACATGATAATTCAGAAATATTCATTAATATTTTAATGGAATTCGATATGTTAAAAGTTGTCTTTGACAACGTTTGAGGCATTCTACGTTATCTTTAGCAATGTATGAAACATATGATATTGTTTTGATGACATTTGAATACTCCATGTTAAATTTTAATATTAATTAAATATTATTGATATTATTTTGAACAGTAGAAAAATTAAATCATTGAGATGAAACAAAATACAAAAGCCAACAAAAGTTTAGGTAAGAGTTATATATGTTAATGGAGAATTCATTTGAAGTTAATCAAAGTATAATTTTTAGATAAATGTGCAGATTCATAAAATTATGTGTGTGACTTTAGGTATTACATTAAAGAAGACCACTTAAGAACTGAAAAAAATTGAAAGGGTTTCAACACATAAAAAATAGTAAAGTGAATGATTACATTTATTTTATAATAATTACATTTTTTATTTTATTTCAATGCAATTATATCATATATATAGACTTGTTGAATTGTAAAGGAACTAACATACATTAAATTAAGGAAAATAAAATAATCATAGTTATAATATGGTATGTATATAAATGTGAAAACTATTTATGTAGATTAATATGTATATGAAAAGAAAATGAAATGAATATAATAAATTACTAAAAGAAATAGAAGAATGTGAAAATGGAGAAGGAAAATGCATGCAAATACAAGAGTTCTCCTCTTTATGGTACTGTCACGACCCGGCCCAGTGAGCTCGCATAGGCGAGACGGGAATGGAAGTCGGACGGTAGACTAAAATATTCAATATCTAAAACTATCACCATAACATTTGAAAGATCCACTAAAACAATAAAATTTAAAACACATAAACATAACCTCATTTAGATTCATATAATTACATTTTTTTGCGGCGCGCCTCTCCTACGGTACACGTTACCGCCACTTCTACTCATTTTGGTTTAAAATAATTATACCTGAAAAAAAAAATTAACAACTAACAGTAAGACAATGTTTAGTACATAAAACATAACTCTAAACGATAGTAACTCAAGGTATAATGAGCAATATGCTAGATGCCACATTTCATTTAAAATATATCATAAATTGATTTCATATAAATATGTCATTAAACATATCATATATCATCATAAAATCATATCATTCATAGTCATTTTCATATTCATATCAATATTTGTAACATTCTCATTTCATATATATTACAACCGTTACAGGAGCCACCGTCTAGTACCATAAAGGTACTCCTTTACCATTACCTTTTTCATATCTTTTACCATTTTAACGTGCACGAGTACATCGTCCCCAACTAGTAATATAAAGGAGTGAGCTCAATGAATTCAGCATGCACATACATTCACTCAATATATCAATCATATCATAATCATATCATCTCATTTTTATTGCATATGAATTTTGTATGATAATGTCATAAAATATAACATATAAATTGCATGATCAATCATTGGATAAGAGTAATATAATCATAATTTAAATTGACCATAAAGATTTTATAAACATGCTTGATCTTTCAAATCATATAACTTGAGAGAAACAAAATTTATCATTGTAATAAAAAATCATGAGTAGTTACCTCAATTTAAAGGATTTGATTACTCCGCTCGAACACCTTCCTTCGAGGTCCACGATTATCAAAATTTATTAATATTTGGACCTCGAAGGAAGGTGTTCGAGCGGAGTAATCAAATCCTTTAAATCTAAGTAAGTACTCATGGTTCTTTATTACAATAATAAATTTTGTTTCTCTCAAGTTATATGATTTGAAAGATCAAGCATGTTTATAAAGTCTTTATAATCAATTTAAATTATGATTATATTACTCTTATCAAATGATTGATCATGCAATTTATATGTTACATTTTATGGCATTATCATGCAAAGTTCATATGCAATATAAATGAGATGATATGATTATGATATGATTGTTATATTGAGTGAATGCATATGCATGCAGAATTGATGGATCTCACGCCCTTATGGTACTAGTTTGGGACGCTATACTTGTGCACGTTAAAATGATAAAGGATATGAAAAAAAAAAATGGTAAAGGAGTACCTTTATAGTACTAGACGGTGGCTTTTGTGACGATTGTAATATATACGAAATGAGAATGTTACAAATATTGATATGAATATAAAAATAAATATGAAAGATATGATTTTATGATATATGATATGTTTAATGACATGTTTATAAGAAATCAATTTATGATATGTTTTAAATAAAATGTGGTATTTAGCATATTGCTCATTATATCTTGAGTTACTGTAGTTTAGAGTCATATTTTACTTACTAAGCATTGTCTTACTGTTTGTTGTTATTTTTTTTCAGATATAATTATTTTAAATCAAAATGAGTAGAAAGGGCGGTAACGTATACTGTAAGAGAGGCGCGCCGGAAGAAAGGAAAATATATGAATCTAAATGAGGTTATATTTATGTGTTTTAGTAGCTCTTTCAAATATTATGGTGATAGTTTTAGAGATTTGACATTTTAGTCTATCGTCCAACTTCCGTTCCGCCTCACCTATGTGAGCTCATCGGGCCGGGTCATGACAGGTACTGGCTATGGGCGCAACAAACCCGTGCATGAAAAATAAAAATGAAAATACCTTAATTAGTACTATATTATAAATTGTAATAAATAAACTAAAATATTGAAGAATATTTAATCAATCAAGAAATTACAATATTCACATTTCTATTAAATATTACATGTATATTAAATAAAATTTTTTATGAATGAGTATGGCAATTTATATGCATGCTTTACTGTTGTGCTATAAATTGTAATTGATCAATGAGTTTGTTATTGAAAACTCAAATTATTAAATTAAAATTTTCAGATAAATTAGATGGCTGATCGAGAAGATTTCGTATACTGAAGAAGATGATCAACTGAAAATGGGTAAAAAATATTTTATCATATGTTTAGATTGATAATTATTTTAGTGGCTTTCAATTACATTTGGATATTTAGTTTATTGAGTAATTATTGCTATTGAGAGAATTGTAATATCCATCCAACTATTTATTCCCATCTTTTTAATTCAACTCTGAACCATGTTGTGACATTAAAAAAGAATAATCAATTATCAAGTTACGTTAAACAAAACAAGAATCACTAAACTATGTATTCAAAATGCCCCTCAAAAAAAAAGTAAACAAAAACATACGTAATTTAATGGCATCAAGATTATCTACAACATTCAAAATCCAATATGGAATACATTAAAACTATAGTCTTGCATATACTCTAATTAATGTAATAAATGACAAAAAATACCTATATAGTTTTGGTGGAGTTTTTTCCAAAACAGCATCATCTTCACTTGCTGGCTTTTTGCCAATTGGTGCAAAGCCGCCAAAGAGAACCCAAAATTCACCCGAGTCAGACTCTGCTACAAGTTTCCCATCATCTAACAATATTTTTAAAAGAAAAGAATTATCAAATGGCTGGCTTTTTGTCAATTCATGCAAAAATACTAAAGGGGACCCAGCCTGACACAGACCTGCAGCAAGCATAGCATCACCTAGGAACAAGGTAATACTATAAGCTAGATAAAAGAAAGAGCTTAGTGAATTTCAAGGGAAACTTACCAATAATTGCAACTTCACACTTTCCTTCATGGTATTTATCCTTCAAATATTGTATCACTTCTAAAGATTTAGCTCTTTCTTGGATGTTGGAGTTAGCTCCATTAAATTGGTATATTTTATTTTCAGTGTCCAAAATGAATACATCATCATGATTCAGTGAAGACCGGGAAAATGTAACCTGGTCAATTAAGAAAATAAAGCCATCAATTCCAGAAAACCAGCTTGCTCGTGTAGTTATAATAATAATAATAACAACAACAACAACAATAATAATAATAGTAACAACAACAATAATAATAATAATAATAATAATAATAATAATAATAATAATAAAGAACTTATGAGCTACTCACTAGCTTCATTCTAACAACTCTTTTTCCCTTGCAAACATAAAGACGGTTTTCAAACTTCTCCTCCTCTGGCTTCTTGAAGCCAGAGGCAACACCACCCTCAAGAGGAATGATGCATGGCTTGAAATAAGACAAAAACTTGTCAGATTCATGACCCTGAAGCTCCCTGTGTTGAACTGCACGGCCTCCAAGAGTTGCATCAAATTCAACCGTCTTGATTGCTGCAGTTCCAGCTTCATCCTGGAAATCATTTATCATTCACACCAATTAATAATCTCACAGCATATTATGATATAAAAAATTGCAAAATACCATACTTGGCTAGTGTCTTTCCCGATCCAGTAGTGAATATCATAGACGTAAGAACCACCTTTGCCCGAAGTAGTCTACAACAAGAGATAGGCAGCGATAACATAATTTAAAAAGCAGTTTGTGCAAGGTAGAAAGATGGATTTGGTTTTTAATTCATTCATCACGAACTGTAAAAGCAAATCAGAAAATAAGTAAAACCCTAATTATGTTTCTGCGATGGTGTGTTGTTAGAAACGGCAGAATGATTGGTTCAGTAGAACCGGTTCCTTAGCTAAAGAGCAAGCACGCCGAGCGTGCAGGCGAGCGAGCGAGCCAGCCAGCGACCGCGGAAAGCGAGCGTGCAGGCGAGCGGCCAAACGGGCTAGCAGTAGAGCAAACTGAGCGAACCGACGCGATTGAAAGCGTTTAAACGCGACTCCTCGTGTGAGATACCAAATATCGCTCACTCCAGTGAAACCGCACGAACGAATGAAGACAGTGACCGAGAGGAAGTAGTGACTGAGAGAGAGAGGAAATTGGAAGAGAATACGAGATACGTTGTAAAAGAGAAAATTTAAGAAAAAAATGTCATTTGCTGCTGTTGAGAGTTTGTCGTTGGATCGTATTCGGAGGAGAGAGAAATCTAAATTGGGCTCCATTTCTGTTGTTGGATCGTGCTGCAATTAAAACTTGTCAGGTAGACGAGACATGTGCTTTGTCAATTGTATTTCTTTTTTATTTATGTCTTATCAATCCGATTAACCCAATCAAGCCCACAATTTTTTAATTTTTAAATGTCGGGGTTTCGGATTGGCACACAATTTTAAGAAAAAACACGCCAAAGCGCCTAAATCTAAACATTTAGGACTTCTAAAACAGAAAGAAAAAATGAGGAACGTCGTTGACCACAAGACATGAAGGCTGTATGGATGTATGGAAACATTCAAGAATCGGAAGTTAATTTGGTTGGAATTGTTACAGGTTTTAACTTATTGGTAAATTTTTACCTATTATAAAATTTCGGAAAAATTTCTTTTAAGAGTTTCCGAAATTTTATAATTTTCTAATGTTCTAAAACAAAGCTGTGTTAAAAAAGCATATCAATGCTCAATACAAGTGCGTAGAAAAAGCAAAAGAGCCCAAAGCATATGAAATTGTGCTTTTTCTGCACAATTGCAACTATGCTCTTGTTGCACTTTCAGTAACCTTTCACGAAGCTTTTACTACACTTTCACTATGATTTTTAAGGTGTTGTAAATGAGCTTTCACAACGCTTTCGCTCTCAAAGCACAATGAAAGCGCGGTATGAAATGATAGAACTGCAACTCAACTATTTTAGATGGATTGGTTCAGTAGAACCGGTTCCCTAGCTAAAGAGCAAGCACGCCGAGCGACAGGCGAGCGAGCCAGCCAGCGACCGCGGAAAGCGAGCGTGCAGGCGAGCGGCCAAACGGGCTAGCAGTAGAGCAAACTGAGCGAACCGACGCGATTGAAAGGGTTTAAACGCGACTCCTCGTGTGAGATACCAAATATCGCTCACTCCAGTGAAACCGCACGAATGAATGAAGGCAGTGACCGAGAGGAAGTAGTGACTGAGAGAAATAGAGGAAATTGGAAGAGAATACGAGATACGTTGTAAAATAGAAAATTTAAGAAAAAATGTCATTTGCTGCTGTTGAGGGTTTGTCGTTGGATCGTATTCGGAGAGAGAGAGAGAAATCTATATTGGGCTCCATTTCTGTCGTTGGATCGTGATCCAATTAAAACTTGTCAGGTAGAAGAGACATGTGGCTTTCTCAATTGTATTTCTTTTTTATTTATTTATTTATTTATTTATTTTTTTGGGACATTTAGGTCATTTAAGTCAAACTCACACACACAACGCATACACAGAGACTCGAACCTTAGACCTTTTAATTGGAAGCCTTAGCTCTCAACCAATAGGCCAAGGAGAGTTGTGTTCTTTTTTATTTATGTCTTATCAATCTGACTGATCCGATCAAGCCCACAGTTTTTTAATTTTTAAACGTCGGGGCTTAGGATTGGCGCACAATTTTAAGAAAAAAACCCTCGAAAGCTCCTAAATCTAAACATTTAGGACTTCTGAAACATAAAGAAAAAATGAGCAACGTCGTTGTAATATTCACAGAAATGGAATGCCCACAAGACACTAAGGCTGAAAGGATGTATGAAAACATTCAAGAATCGGAAGTTAATTTGGTTGGAATTGTTACATGTTTCAACTTATCGGTAAATTTTTACCTCTTCTAAAATTCTTTTAAGAGTTTCCAAAATTTTATAATTTTCCAATGTTCTAAAACAAAGCTGTGTTAAAAAAGCATATCAATGCTCAATACAAGTGCATACAAGTGCGTAGAAAAAGCAAAAGAGCCCTAAGCATATGATATTGTGCTTTTTCTGCGCATTTGCAACTATGCTCTTGTTGCACTTTCAGTAACCTTTCACAAAGCTTTTACTACACTTTCACTATGATTTTTAAGGTGTTGTAAATGAGCTTTCACAACGCTTTCCCTCTCAAAGCACAATGTAAACGCGGCATGAAATGATAGAACTGCAACTCAACTATTTTTCCATACACTTTGTATGCACTTTTGATGATCTTTCTTATTACAGGTTGTTTATAAAGATGACAAAAAAGCATATGATGCTTATTGCATTTATACCCATAATATTGACTTTAGTGTATATAAGGATCATCACAGTTACTGTTCAAATTATAGAAAGATAAAATTCAAGGACTTGGGCTGTTCAAAATGTGGTTTCAAAAAAGAGAATTGATCTGAATTCCCAAACGAAATATAGAAAATCAGAGACCATAATGGATTGACCATCTTTGGTTAGGTTTGCAGTTGATGAAGCTGAAAATTAGAATGTGAAAAAATTTATTGAATTTCACAATCATGAATTGGCTAGGTCATATGACCGACACCTCCTGAGATCATGTAGAAATATTGATGATGAGAAAGCTTCAGTTATGAAATCAATGACAGAAGCAAGGATTAGAAATGTTGATGCATTCTCCTAACTTACAGAGAAAGTTGGAGGTATTGAGAATGTGGATTCTCTAAGAGGGATGTATAAAATTTTATTCAAAAGGAGAAAAGAGCAAATATCGAATTTGATGACACTAATTCTTTGATTCAATTATTTAAAGATTATTAAGTTAATGACAACATGTTAGAATGGAACATCCAAATTGATGAGTTTGATAGATTGTTATTTTTTTTTTTTAGTTGATGACATGATTAGGATATATTATGATTGCTTTAGAGATCTGTTTTTAATACTAGTTATAGGCTAAATAGATATAATTTAGTTTGTGCACCAGTTGTCGGTGTTAATAATCATTGGTAGAACATTTTGCTAGGGGTGTTCTTTTTGGCAGAGAAAATAATTGAATCATTTACATAGTTGTTTAGAATATTTGTACGAATAATGAGTGATAAACATTCAATAATAATATTTACTGATCGGGACCAGGCAATGGCTAGGGCCTAACACATCTCTAAAAAGTTTTCATCAAAAGTCGGGTGCTTCAATAGCAACAACAAAGTCAGAGGACTCTTCTAAAGATGTTTGAGCAATGTGACTATGAGTAGGAGTTTGAGAAAATATAGACTGAAATGATCACATAAAAGAACCTCCATAACTATGATTGGTTGGATGATCTTTATAGGATAAAGAATAAGTGGTCAACAACATTCAATAAGAATTGTTTTAGCATGGGCATTCTATCCATGCAGCGTAGCGAGTCTACTAATAATATTTCATTGCATTTCAAAGTCAATAAATTATATAACAGATTGTTTTCTAGGCTTAGAGAAGGTAATGATGACTTGACAACAAAATGAACAGGATGAAGACTATCACGTTTTCTTAAATGAATTCTACCTATGTCCACAATCAATTTATTAATCTACTCTAGATATAATGAAGCTGGAGACTTGTTATCGAAGTTTGGAAAAAACATCATCACTGCACCATGCCAGATAGTGTTGTAAGCTAATCAAAACATTAAAAACACAAACTTGGTTCCAATACATATTTGTTAAAGAACCAAACCAAATTTACTGGATGCCAGTTTGGCTACCACAATTTAGACACAGGAAGGGAAGGGTGTAATCAATGCAAGGAGTGGAGGTAACAAGTAACGCCACGCATGGACATTACAAATAGAATTTGGCTTGATTCCCCCAAAGGTGATTCTCTCATTTTATCACAATATAATTTGCAAAAAATTGTCAGTAGTACTTATAAATTAAACAAGTAGGGTCATCAATATATGGAAGGCATGTATGAAACTGACACAAAGCATTAAAATCTAGATTCCTCAGGTAGACATCCAACAGCTTAAATGGAAAAGTAAATGGAGATAAATAAAATTTTTTAGGCTGTGGTCAGCGCAGAGCTATCTATTAATTCTGAAAGGGAAGCAAAGCTAACTGGTGAATTTCAACCATATCATTTCGGCATAAGATCAAAATTAGAATGCAAATCTAGTTGAAACAAGGACAAATTGATTCACAATCAACACAAACTACAGATTATTTGAACCAGGATTGCGTGTGACGAAGCAAAAGGAAAAAATGGTAACACAAATACAATCAAAAAGAAGGAAAAGAAAAAAAAAAGAAACAGAATTTATTCATTTTACCTGTAAAATGATGTATGAATCCCCAGAGTAGAATTTACCATAATCAGTTTTTGCCAAAGGAACAGGCTGAAAGTTCTCAATACGCCAGATCTCAGTACCTCTATGTCGCGTTAAGTAAATGAAGAGCAAAGAGAAATGATAAATAACAAACACTTACTAAGAGCTGCTTACAAAAAAAAGGTAAAATATGTGAACAAAGTGGGATAAGTAAATTTTTTTTTTTTTTTTTTAAATAATACAGCGTACAACACTTAGAAGAAGGATACACTCTTTGGCCAGCTCCTTGAAATGCAGGATCAAGAATTTTTGTAGAGCCAGACATTGTGACACCACCCTCTCAGGTATCTACTATAATATTTCAAATTTATGAGTAAAATGAGGCAGTTGAACAGACAAATTAACATGCATCAAACAAATTTCATCTTCCATTTTATAATTAGAGATTGTGTAAGTCATCCGAAAGATAAATTTCAAGTAAACAAGTAGCTCAGCAGACTTTTCTAACAATTTTTTATGCTGTGAAGTTGGTGTTAAGATCGTGAAACATCAAATTCAAATAGAAAATACATTTCAACAAGAAATGCAGATTGAAATATTAAAAAAAAAAAAAAATATTCGAACCACATTTACTACCATCTTGGCCTAAAATTTTTTTTTTAATTTATTTATTTTGGCCTAAAAACTTGCCAGTTGACTAGGAAGCCAGCATTGTAAAATCAATTTCAAACGTTAGTTTTCCAATAAATAGTGTGGCATGAAACAAGCCCATAAACACCTTCTATCCTTGGTAGAATGCACAAAAAGACACGTAAAATTCATCAGGTATCAGATGTACACCCATTTTTAATAAACTATGACCAAAGTCACACACCTAAAAGGAAAAATGACTAGAAGAAACCTAGTGATATGAAATCTTAGGAATTTAAAAATCAAAATATATTCTAAAGAGTATAATTGATACGTCAATAAAAATCAGCTTTGGGCATGAATCTCGATGTACTTTTAAATTTGAAATTTCCAAAATTAAAATATGGATTGTTTGAACTCCGATTTCAGCAAATTTAAAGTCGAACTAAGTGTCTCAACGAGACAAGCCCAATGACACAAAAAATAGTCCAATCCGAGCCCAATGAGCCCAAATCAAGGGCTTGAAGCTCAATTGGAAACTCAAAACATTAATTTGACAATCAAATAATTTTTAAATTTGGCATGCTTAAATTGAATCAAGCAGCATGATGAGACAAATCCAACGAGCCCAAGACCACTTAATTTCGACATCATTAAGGCACTCATTTGCTAAAAAAATAATCTATGATCAAGAGAATCAATACAAGTCATCCGATAGAGCACTCAAGATTTGCTTAGAATTTTCTCTATATTTATGGTACATGTTTCTCTCAAAATTCATAAATAGGCCCTCACCCTCTGGATGAAGAGAGGATCTGATGTGAAACAATATCAGACTTGAACGGAGACATAATAAGGCAACGGAGTAAGTCAATATAAAAATTAACAAGTCACAATTAATGATTTAAAGAGATCTCAGTTGCAGAATTGCTTAGGCATTATTACAAACTCATTAGACACAACAATTTAAAATAATAACAAACATGCGAGTAATGACGAATGCATTTTAACAATAATCCGCGGATTAATATTTAGAAAAGTCACCTTGAGTTTCCCTCACTCAAGCTCTCTTGCGGTTGACAGAAGAAAGATATTAGCAACACTAATGTGATCACCACGAGGAAGAGGGAGCTTACAATACTGTTCACGGGAAAGCTATTCGAAGCTGGAGGAGTTGATGAACAGTGCAAGAGTGTATTCCTGGAGGGTTTTACATCAATTCTTCTTACTAGTGTTCTTGGGACAGCAATCTGTCAATATCCAGAAATTCTAGACAGCAAATGAGACCGTTCCAGCAACTTGGACATCAAACTACCTTGCTGAAAATTGCAGGACAGCAATCCTGTGAGGTGGACAAACTCTGGGTAGCAGTTATGAGGAGACTAGGGCTGCTGGACAACTAGCCGTGGCCTCAAGTGGTGCAGAACAGCAGGTTGTCCTCTCAGAATTTCTTGGACAGCAATTTGTGGCCTTCCTAAGGTGCAGCCAATGAAGAAACGCAAGCCTGAAAGGGTGACCAAGGTGGGGAGAAGAGGTGGGGTGATTTGGGTGGGGAGCTTGGAATGGGTTAGGAGATTGAAGGGAAAAATCTGAATTTTAATGTCAGATTTTATTAAAAGGAAAGGGGTCAATTTGAAATTCAAATTAACCTCAATTAAGGGAGTAATGGGGGAGGGGGCCGTCGGTTATGATGGGGTTATGGGGGATTTAAATGGTGCTTAGGTGGCAAAGTGGAGAGAGTGGGGAGGGAGAGAGGGGCCGGCCCTATGGGGGTTTAATTTTTGTGTTTAAATGAAATGAGAGTGGGGCCCATGTGATTGAGTAAAGCAATTAATTCAAATTCTGAATTGATTTCAGATTTGATGAGGTGTAAAGAGTTTCCTAATTGAATTCCATCATTTAAGGAGGGATTTCAAATTCAAATTTCAATTTGAATTTTGAATCCGAAATTTCCTAAATGATAGGGGGACGAATTAGGAAAGTAATGAAAGCTGAATTGAATTTGAGAAGTCCAAATCTATGGCTGATTTGGAGTGGCCGGCGGTGGGGGATTCCCTGGATTGACCGGCGGGTCTAGGGGGGAGTTGGTACGGGTGGAGGAGATGGAACGGGTGGCCGGCGGAGGGAAGGACGGGTGGGATCTAAGGTTTAACGGCAAGGGAGGGGGTTGGTGGTTTGCCGATCAAGTGGTGGGGGTGTTGGGGAAAACCGGCGGCTAGGGGAGAAGGGAAGAAGAAGAAAAATAGAAAAAGAAAAAAAAAAACAAGAGCTCCAGCAAGGGGATGTTGGGTATTGCGTTGAGCCTCTCCTAGGCCAATCCTCACTCGAGAACTCACAAAGAGAACTCTAGAACTCACAAAGAGATCCAAAATCCAAAATTTTCATTAGCAATAATCATCCTCCCATACAATGCATGAGGCCTCCTATAAATAGGTCAAAATGAACCAAAACTAAAAGACATAAATGCCCTCAATATCAAAAAATGACCACCCATAAGGGTAAAACCGTAAAACTGAAAAATAAAATAAACTACTACATAAAAAGACTCAAAATAAAACTCCTAATCGTGGTCGTCGATCTCCGGCGTCTCCGATGGTACACGTGTCGAAATCGCTGACGATGTCCTCATCAGGATCAGATTAGAGATTCAAAAAAGCTCTGAAGTTTGAAGAATTATGGAGCTCCACTCAAGCACCAACACCACCATTAAAAAGAGGTATAAGATTTGATAAATATGAAAACATCCCATGGAAGTCAATTACAACAAAGTATTTTTTAAAGCTGAAAGTGAAACTATAAAGATATCATCAGGTTTGTGCAGGTTAAAAAAAACTCTATAAAGACAAAACAGGAATAAATAAATGACAGGATGTTTGTGCCGTTAGATGGTAGATTTGCAGAACAAGCCAAGGATCAACTTTATAGTGAGGGAAATTGTAGCAGTTAAAACATTCCCAAATATCATAAGTCTGTAAAATTAATAAGCCCTGGGCCCATGATCTAAAGCCTTCACTAAAGCCAGCCCAAGCATTAACAGGTGTGCCAGTTGTGTCGCTTGCTAGATGACCAAGCAAAGCAGTGAAACCAGAAGCCAAACATAACCATTTTCTTCCTAAGGCTAGTCCAGGAGATAAAATTAAGAATTAAAAAAATAATCCAATCTCTGTTTCTGAAAAGTAGATCCACAAAAACTTTTCTATAATCAGATTTATATGAGCTATCTTTATCTAAGAGCAACCTAAATCACTCAAATTCACAAACCCCAATCAACCAAATCCACAATATTAAACACAGGAACATCCAAACATACTAAATCCACCCTTAAATTCAAGGCCACAAACCAGGCAATGTAGTTTCAAAAACAGTCGATACCACCAACGAGAAATTTCAACTCCCTTTACAGCTTTCTAATCTCCTCTACACTCTTGTCTCAACCCTCTTCTCCAGTTAATTTCCTCAAACAAAGTATAGTCACAGCTTCACTTGCTCTGAAAGAGCAACAACTCTTAGTCATCTATAACAACAAGAAATGACCAAAATCAGAATTTGAGAACTCTAATTTAATCTCAAAGACTCTAAGGAAGAAGAAGTTGCAAACTGGAAAAAAAAGTCTCTCCCATTAATAATAAGCTATCTACTAAGAAAGTAAAATTTGAAAGCAATCATAGAAGAAAAACATCAAAGTGGCGTAGTAGGGTCAGGATCTCTTAAATAGATATTGAAATAATAAATTTATAAAAAAACAAAGAACTCTACATTATAGTAAAATATCCTAAACAATTTTGGGCTTCTTCTAAATTCAAGCAGAGATCAATTGAGTCTGCCCCAACTGATATTCAGTGTCTCACAATATTTATGCTAAGTTTAGCCATAAGAAAAGCAGTCTATTCATTCACAAACTGAGCTGTTTATCTTTATCCCCTTGCTTCATCTTTAATCCAATTCCTTCTCAAACATTTTGTGCACAAAAACATTCGCCAATCACCTATGTGCATAAGCCACCGAACCTTTCTCGCGAAATACCTGCCAATTCACCTAGAATCAGCAATCAACTGGATCTGCCAAAACAATAGAAATGATCTACTTTCGGGGGAACCCAAGCAGCAAAGGCTTTGCAAAAGATAGAAACCGGATGGAAGATTGACAGAGAATAAATGACAAAGCTTAATCGAACGGATGCCTTCTCTAGTTTGCACATCAACATTAACAATTCACCAAGCTCTATTGTGGATCATACTCTATGAAATGAGAAAACAATAGGAAATCCTATCACTAGACTCGCACCAAATAATCATCTTACGAACCAACAGCATCACCAAACACCCGGGCATGTCAACTAGCCACAAGAAGATCTAGATAATGCTATATACATCAAAGTGAATTCATTAAACATACAATTCCTGCTGCGGATCTAGCCAGGGGCAACACAGCATGAGCGGCAAAAGACACTTGCCGAAAGACGAACAAACGAAACCACACTCGCTAAACAACCCAGCCATCAAAAATCGTGAAAACCTCTTCCAGCATTCCAGGCTACCGATTCGTGTACCAGGAAAGAAGATCAGCATCAAATGAGACAGATCTAAGTCCAAAAAAGCCAGGTGAAATTCTTTATTAAATGATTCACGAATTCCACTCCAAGAAATCCAAAAACAGACGGCATGACAAGGGCAACATGAGGGAGATATCGAAAAATGGGTACCTTCAAAGATCCGCCAGAAGAACTCGAAAGAGGAGGAAATTGGATCTGAGGTGGGCAGGCGAACAGCAAGAAGGTGGCAAAAGATGCTATACTAAAAGCGAATGATATATCCCCTTTTGCTCTTCCTTTCTCTCTCCCACCTTCTGTCAGCTCTCCTTTTTCCCCATTCTCGTGCAGATCTAATTTCTTTTTTCCTTCGCAATTTGCAGTCTGTAAATATACAACAAATTAACGGTAATCTCAGTAGTGAGGGATAACGGAAAGATCGCGAGTCGCAACAAACAAAGTCGGTCCGCCTCGCACCGACCACCGACCACCGACCAACATTGGAAAGCCTCGCACAACCCGCGGCTAAGCGCAGCCAGGCCTCACCAATAAAACTGAGGATCATGTCGTGGGCAACAAACACTATATCTAATGCTTCGTGAATCATAACCGTCTATTAAAATTTGATCATCGAGATTCGTGACAAATAAGGCTGATTGAATTGCTCAATACTTCCGAGTTCAGGACAATTTTATTATTATTTTTTAAGACAAATTTTAAGTGAAAAAATTTATAGTTCAAAAAATTTTTGTATTAAAAAGTTACTTTAAAAAACAATAAAAAATATCACAGACGATGCTTAACTTTATTTATAGGCTTAAGAATGTGAAAGGGGTTTGCTAGAAATCTCTCCTAGAAAAAATTACTATTGTTCTTAACAAGAAAATTTCTTTTTTGATCAATCTAATTAAAAAATCATACACATTACATATATATAAAATCTCTAATTAGCTTCTAACTAATACATTAAGGCTTGTTTAGAAGGGTTTTCTTACGGCTTCTTAAAGCAGCTTTTAATACAAAAATTAAATTCTTTTTTACTATAAAGTTGTTTTAAGAAGTAGTAAAAAAAGCAATCTCAAATAAAGCCTAAGATGATCTTTAATATACTTTTATTTTAATTAGATATGCAACTGGGCATGGTGATAATTTTTTAACATAAATTATTTATCTAATTTTTATTTTTAAAAGGGTGACAAATATTTCAGTCCCTTACTTTTGGCCTTCATAGATCTTTTTATAATTGTTCATAACAAACATATCGTTGTGCCACTCAATTGAAATTCTACATTTCCATGTGCATTTTTCTCTTGGCATTGGAATCTATAGAGCTATAAAATCTTGCCCTTTTTCTATATTGTAATATACTATGTTCATATGAAATGATTTTTTACCTTTTTATTTGTGACAACCTTCTTTTTTGTCACCACCCACATAATATTGGCATCTCCTCTTCTTACTATGCCTAAAACAAGGAGAAAAGCATTAGCTATCTTTTCTTGTTATATCATTATTCTTTTGCACACATGATCAAATGAATCAGATTAATCAAGTCAAAATGCGACCCTAAACTTGTCTCAAATTTAAGGCTGCCTGAGAATTAGCACTTGTCTCACACTTAAAGTCATAAAAAAATCTAACACTTCTCAGTCTTGAATCATCAAAGAGTATAGCTCTTCTCACACTTAAAAGCCATCAAAAAATCTAACACTTCTCAGTTTTGAACCGTCAAAGAGTATAGCTCTTCTCGTACATACTTGAAGAACTCATTAGAGGGTGTGAACTTCAGACTTAAAGTTGTTATAGAGCTTGAACATATATTATGCTTAAAGTGGTTATAGACTTTAAACTTATTTCAAACATAAAATTCTTATTTAGTTTGGCATAGTGTCATAGTTGAAGTTGTCAAAGATCATAAACTAGTCTAAAACTTTATTAATATTTGATCTAAATGTAAGTGTCAATTTTAGGTTATATTGTTTCTTAGGCTCAGTTTGTCCTAATAGTTTCTTTGTTCTATAAATAGAGAGGTTGTAATAGCTTTTTTATGATAAGCTAGTAAAGAATAGTCTTTTGGTTTCCTCTCCCTAGATTCCCCCTCTCTTGCTCCCCTTACCCTCTCTCCCATTTCTCTCCAAGAATTTTAACAAATTGGAATCTGAGCTAGGTTGTCACACTCCATGATCTATATTGGAAGAATTATATATGTCTTCCATTTTAACTATTTAACTGGAGCTTACCAATGCATAATAGAAAAAATATGATATTATTTGTGTCTTGTCCAGATCCTCATATCATAAGATCCTTGCGCTTTCTTGAAAACATGTAAAACCACTAATTAGCACATAACTCAGCAAGTAATTAAAATCGTATAACTAAAATCAATGTTGGTGGTGAACTCACTTGTGGAGCTTAGTAAAGGGATCAAATGCCTCAACAAATTTGTGCTTAGAGAAGTTAAGGGATGATCAACAGAGGTTTACTTGTTCAAGTGCGTGGGAAGAGGGGAAAAGCGATTCAGGTAAAATGCCAAACATACGGATTATAGGATGAGTGCAGCACATGGGCAGGCATTGCATAGGATGTTGTGTAGGGCACGCAAGGTTGCTCTAAGGGATTCGAGATCATGATCGAAATCCCATGGAGCTTTAGGTTGGAATCGTGGGATGGATGGATGTATCATATGCCTAGTAGGTGGGTCATTTCTTGGATGCAGATCTTGATGGAATTAGGTGGAGCATGTTGTAACTCGGGCTTTCGAGTGTATGATTTTGATGATAACAAATAATATTAATTAATCTTTTATTTCTCCTAGTATTTATAGTGTATATTTGTTTGTGTGTTGATTAATATTTCAGGTTCATCATGCACCGTTCTTTGAAGATTCAAGACTCAAGATTGTGTATAATTGGTTATATTAAATGAGTATGTAATTTTCATTTCTTAAGTTAAGTCCTGTAATGTTGTATGCAAGACTGAGCAATCATGCACACACATAGGGGGAGAGGGTTTTAAAAATGAAGGAATTTTTTTCTCTGTCGATCATATTGTACTAGTTTAAATCGTATTGTACAATCTGATCTAGCTCAAACAGCTATATGTAAACAAGTCATACCGTATGATGTATATCATACTGTATAATGGGTTTTCTAATTAAAAACCCTAGCCGCCAGATTAATTTAAAGAAGTTATTAATTCATAAAATTTGAACTGATCATATTGTACGATCATATCATACCATATGTATTTTTGAATACTTAAATTAACCCCATGATTAGTACGTAAATCAAGGATTTATTTCTGATTGGTTATCATAATGTACGATATTGTTCGTACTGTACGATCAACCGAGACTATTTTCATTCATCCCAAATATCAACAAATGCTTATCGTACTGTACGAAGTGGTTCGTATCATACAATGTACATAGACAAGTTTTTGTCATCCCAGCAATTGTCCTGTACGAACAAAAGGACTTTACATATCGTACTGCACGATATTATATCGTACTGTAGGATATTATTCAGAAATTTTGCCTATTCGTAATCCTTCGTACCACAGAGGATTAAGAGAGTAGAGGTATTAGATTTGACTTGTGTTAAGAAAGGTAGAGGCAGACCTAAAAAGACTTGGTTAGAAAATATTAGGAATGACATTTCTTTATTAGATTTAAACAAGAATTTGACCTTTAATAGGACATAATGGAGAAAAAGGATTCATGTAGCCGACCCCACGTAGTGGGATAAAGGCTTGATGTTGTGTTGTTGTTGTTGTAATCCTTTGTACCACGACGAAGGTTATTTTGTATTGATCGTACTGTACGATATTGGATCGTATTGTATGATCATAATGGTTGAATTGAGTTTTTTTAAGGATTTTTTTAGCCCTCTATTTAAGCACTCTCATAAGTCATTGTAAGAGTCTTTGGTATCCATTAAAGCTTTATTTTTCTGGGGAAAACTTAAAGAGAGAACTTGAAAGGGATAGATAAAAGGGTGGAGTTTGAGAGAGGGAGAATATCCTTGGAGAGGGTTTCAAGGGAGTGTGAAGGAGATTTCACACGGTTGCTCCAGCGAACTTGCACCTCAATACCATCGAATTCAAGGTTCATCTTGAGGGAAGTTTTGAAAAGAAGAAGATCTTTTTGGTGTCAAAGGACCCAACTCATATGACAGACTAGGGAAGGTGGAAGTAATTTTATAAGAACTTCTCCGCCTAGCTGTGGGGGCAAAAGAAGAATCACTAAAGTTTTATTGTAATACTCAGAGGGTTCCTCTAAAAAGTGGATGTTAGTTATGGTTTGATTGAACCACTATAAATCAGTGTGTTCTTTCCTTTATTATTTATACATTCATTTTTATTGCGATTAATTGCGTGGGTGAAATTGATAATCTATCTTTTTATTGTGAATGAAATTCGCTTCCGCATAACGATATAAAAAGATATTTCTTTTTATTAAAGAAGTTTTTAATCATCCAATTCATCCCTTCTTGGCACATCTCATACTTTCAATTAGTATCAGAGTGGGCTTCAAAAATAGTATTTTAAAAAACCTTGAAAAAAATTTATCATGGCATATTCTGGAAATCGTAACATTATGGAAGGTTATTTAATTACGCAATTACTTTTATTTGAAAATATTACTTTTAATTTTTGAAAAATTTACATGTCTACTTTCTTGTAATGAATTGATTACTAAACGTGGCATATGATTCAAACTGGCTATTCTGTATCATCACGTATTATAGATGGAGTTAAATTTGATATTTCTTTTACTGAATGGAGTAAAATAGAATAAGTTAATGCTCAACTAAATGCTAAATGTTTGAATTATTTTTTCTGTGCATTAAATTCTGATGATTATATGAGAATATCTACATGTACTACTGACAAAGAAGTTTGGGGTAGATTATGCATTACATACGAAGGTACTAATGAAGTTAAACAATTTAAGTTGAATATTCTAATGCATGATTATGAACTTTTTTGCATGAGACCTTATGAGATAATCTTAGACATGTATACTAGGTTTACTCAGATTGTGACGTCATTGCATAATTTAGGCAGAGAACTTTCAAACTTTAAAAATGTTAACAAAATTCTACATTCTCTACTTGATAAATTTGATGCCAAAATCACGGCTATATGTTAATCAAAAGATTTGAATGCTTATTAATTATATAGATAATCTAATAGGTTCACTCATTGCCTACGAGCAAAGTGTGAGTCAAAAACTTTTAGATGCAGGTGATGAGAAGATTATAGTGCTAAAAGTCAAAGACATAGATGAATGTGGCTTAGTAGACGATGAGAGGAAGGTTCGGCGAGCTTGCACCTCAGTACCATCGGATTCAAGGTTCGTCTTGAGGGAAGTTTTGGGAAGAAGAAGATATCTTTGGTATCAAAGAACCTAGCTCCTCCGCCGCACCGGGGAAGGTGGAAGTGATTTTGTAAGGACTTCTCCGCCTAGATGTGGGGGCTAAAG